TGGGATATCCCCTGCACAAAGGTACAGTTGCAGGTGTGCTTAGCTGCATTCTCAAGAGAAGGCACTGGTATCTAGGGACTCCTTATCACATAGGAAGACAGCCTGCTCTTTCCAAACCAAATTCTGGTAATGTTCACCTGACACTAACCTGCCAAGGAACTTTGAACTTCTCTGTTGTTCTCATGGTCATCAGATCAAAAAATAATCTCAGAAATGTGAGAAGATCAGACTTTCGCAGTTGAACCTCCCCAGTGATATTTTCCTTAAAGTAGAAGTATGTGCCAGGATAAAGTTCCCACACTATATTCTTACAGCACAACCAAAGCTTCCTTGGGATTTGAGGAGAAATTGGAAAGAGGAAAGAGGAAGCAGATTGCTTTCTCAAGTCATTCATTCAAAAAAAAAAATGAGTATTGGCTCCTGTTATGTGGCTCCTTGATATGTTTTAGGAGAAGCCACACAAATGCATCCTCAACTGGACAACTTCCATAGAGCAGGTTGAAAAATTCCTACACTACCTGGCGGAGTTTCCAGCCCCTCTACAGAAGTGCACACCTATGCAAAAACCTTCATCAAAAGAGAACTTAAGGGATAGTCTGACACTATGGAATCCCAATGTGTATAACCAGTGGTCCTTGCTATCTGACTCCGTGAGCTGCACTGAGTAATAGAAGCAACTCTCCTTGCCCTGTCCTCTAGGTTTCTATTATACTTGGAGTAGGTAAACTTTATTTTATTTACTCAAGATATGTCACATCCCTGGACACACAGAATAAAAATTCAAAGTCCTCCTAGAATTCAAGATGTGTCACACCCCTGGACACACAGAATAAGAATTCAAAGTCCTCCTAGAGAGGCAGAGAATATCATCACTGTATCACTCCATTTTACTTTATTGAAAATCTTAAAAGTAAATATAAAATGACAAATTACAGGTGCTGCTACTGTTGCTTGCTATCTGGGAAAAAAAGAAATGTTGGGTAAGAAGGTCAAATGTGCCAATTCAATCCCCTGAGAATGGTCACCTAATCTTCTATCAAGAGATGTAACATACCATCTAAAGAACAGCTGCCCAGCCGGGCGCAGTGGGTCACACCTGTCATCCCAGGACTTTGGAAGGCCAAGGCAGGCAGATTCCTTGAACTCAGGAGTTTAAGACAAGACTGGGCAACATGGTAAAACCCCATCTCTACCAAAAATACAAAAATATAGCTGGGCGTGGTGGTGCCCGCCTGTGGTCCCAGCTACTTGGGAGGCTGAGGTGGGAGGATTGCCTGAGGCCCAGGGGCAGAGGTTGCAGTGACCTGAGATTGCACCACTGCACTTCAGCCTGGGTGACAGAGTGAGACCCTGTCTCAAAAATAAAGAAAGAAAGAAAGGCTGCCCTCAGTACCTAGGAGCTTGGCTCTGCTTTACTTCTGCCCTTTCGATTCCCTGTGAAATGAACAGGACTTATGTAATTGCTTTCAGCAGCATCTTTGAATTAAAATTACGTAATAAGACACACACCAGGATGTGTGTAATTGTGTAATAACAGCATGCCTCACTGTGCTAGGCTGGTGGCCAATAACTATCTAGTCATGCTATTATATTATAAGAACATATGCCCTCAAGGCATGTTGAAATTATTCTGGGGATCTCTAAAGGAAAGCTGACTGATCAAAAGAGAACCCCAACTTAAAAAGCAATAAAATAAATAATTTCTAAAAGTCTGATAGTAATCCCAAAAAGAAACAAAAAAATTACACCTATCCTAAAGAAAAAAAAAATCTGTAGTGTAAACTCAAAGTGTTGTGTAATGATTCACTCATGTCACCACAGGAGTTAAGATGACAGAGTGTTGATAAGGAAAAAACAAGAAGCCGGCCTGAAGTCAGGTGTCGTGATGCCCTCTTCGTAGTTGGTCAGAGTGAAAACTACAGTGGAGTCATGTCTCAACCCAGAAAGTTCTAGCTTCTTTAGAGCCTACTCCTTCCCAGGAAAATGACACCCCAAAGGCTCTATAAACTTTCCACACTTTGAACTTCTCTGTTGTTCTCATAGTCATCAGATCAAAAAATAATCTCAGAAATGCGAGAAGATCAGACTTTTGCAGTTGAACCTCTCCAATATTTTCCTTAAAGTAGAAGTATGTGCCAGGATAAAGTTCCCACATTCTTACAGCACAACATACATATATGTTATATATACAGCATGTGTACACACATTTCAATACCTAATTTTTCTGTATATGCAAACTACATTTCCATTTCTTCCACTCTTCTAACTCATTTGGCAGGGAAAAAACCTCATGCATCAAAAATAAGGCAGTATGAGATGAGGGGAGAGGTAGGAGAGACACTTTTGCATTTATGAAATATTAGTCTGTCACTTCTTAGATAAGGTTGTATCAATACAAGTTATCATATCAAGGTAAACATAAATGTACATGTGTAATATACTTCTAATTCACAAGTGATGTTTTGTTTTTTCCTTATACTATTAGAGCCTTAAAATATAGAAGTTTTGATCATTACTATAATGGGCTGAATTATGTCTCCCCTCTCCCCCAGATTCATATGTTGAAGTCCTAACCCCCCAGTGCCTGAGAATATAATTGTATGAGGAGATAAAGTCTTTAAAGAAGTAATATATTAAGATGAGGTTATTCAGGTGGGCCCTAATCCAATATGGTTTGGCGGTATCTCCACCCAAATCTCATCTTAAATTGTAGCTCCCATAATTCCCACATGTTGTGGGAGGGAGCTGGTGAGAGATAATTGAATCATGGGGGACATTCACCTCATACCATTATTATTATTATTATTATTTGAGACAGAGTCTCGCTCCGTCACCCAGGCTGGAGTGCAGTGGTGTGATCTTAGCTGGCTGCAACCTCCGCCTCCTGGGTTCAAGCAATTCTTCTGCCTCAGCCTCCCAAGTAGCTGGGATTACACACATGTGCCACCACACCCAGGTAATTTTTGTATTCTCATAGAAATGGGGTTCCACTATGTTGGCCAGGCTGGTCTTGAACTCTTGACCTCAAGTGATCCACACATCTCTACCTCCCAAAATGTTGGGATTACAGGTATGAACCACCATGCCTGGCCCTCATACCATTCTTGTGGATAGTGAGTAAGTCTCATGAGATCTGATAGTTTTATAAGGGAAACCCCATTTGCTTGGCTCTCATTTCTTCTCTTGCCTGCCGCCATCCATGTAAGACATGACTTTGCTCTTCCTTGCCCTCCGCCATGATGTGAGGCCTCCCCAGCCAGGTGGAACTGTGAGTCCATTAAACCTCTTTCCTTTATAAACCTCTTTCCTTGGGTGTGTCCTTATTAGCAGCATGAGAACAGACTAATACAACTGATGTCCTTATAAGAAGAGGAAATTTGGACACAAACATGTACAAAGGGAAGACTGTGAAGACCCAGTAGAAGATGGCCATCCACAAGCCAAGGGGAAAGGCCCTAGAGGGAACCAAACCTGCAGACACCTTGATCTTGGACTTCTAGCCTCCAAAGTTGTGAGGAAATAAATGTTGTTTAAGCCACCTAGATTGTAATAGTTTTTTATGACAGTACACATTTATTACATTATTACATCAACTACACATTTATTATATCAACCAACTTTTTTTAAAACAATGCTGAGTATAAGTAATGAGAATAGAATGGAGAGCAAAACAAGGTCCATGTTGTTTTAGGGCTTACAGTCCACCAAACAATAATGTTGACAGGACATGCATAGGAAAGGCAGCAAATATAGTTGTGGGTTTTAATCTATTACGTATGTGGCATTTCCAAAATGCCATATGTAAGCTGATTTTAAATATTTTCAGTGATCTTAAAGGACATCAACTGAGTATTTCAGTCACCTTAACAACCAAAAGTATTCAATGATTCAACAAATGACCTGCAACGAATGACTCAATCTAAACCCAATCTAAACCCCCATTGAGTTAAATTTGAGCAAATACCTACAGAATTATTGGTACCTCTCCACAGGGTGCTAGACTGGCTCTCACCCACTTCAATTATGCACATCTCTTCCCAACTTCATGTTCAGTATTACCAGATGAGTTGTTTGAAATCAGCACCCCTCACACTGCCCCCAAAGGCTCCACTTCAAGTCTGCCCTCCTCTGGAGCCTGTTGTTAAACCTTTGCCAGCACACCATTAGTCAGGGTGCACCCCCATCAACAAGACAGCTCAAAGACATTTAGAAAACAAAACCATGACAGAAAATGTCAAGGGAGAAGAGAGGGATATATAAATATGGAAATAAAATAATGAAGTGGAAGATTCTGATGTATTAAGCTAGAGCAGCAGTTCTCAAATGTATGGTCTACACCCAGATCACCCAGAGATGTAGGGTGGAGCCAGGGAATTGCATTTCTAACAAGTTTCCTGGTGATCCCACTGCACTAGACCATCAGTATGGCTTTTTCTGCTAACACCAGTTCATCTCCTATGCTTACCACCTGGTTGAGGAGGGGTGGAAACGCATGGCAGGTGTGGCTAATGCCATTGGACTGGCAGCTGTTGGTAAAGGAAATCCATGGCCATGTATAAACAATGTTTAAGCTGAAGTCCAGTGAAATGGTCCCTGGAGACCCACAAGCTGCTCACAGTCAGAGGCAGCACTGCCCAATGTTGCCCCGACCATGGAAAAAAATACATGCCAAACACCTTCATCTAGCCCTGAAGGTATTATTAGGCCTATGTAGAAGGTGGTTTGGCTAAAACAGCTTAAGTTGGCAAATGCAGAAAGACACAATCATAGAGCCACAGTGAATTATTTGTTCGGAAGGCAGGACCCTATTAAGACACTGGGTGTTGCCTTATCCATATCTGGATCACCACAATGCAAATCATGCCCCTGGAGACAGAAATCTACAAGCCACAAAGACAGGGAGAAAGCTAACGCGACATGACTGGGAAGGTGAGTATACAGTTATCAGATCTCACAAAATAAGGATGATAGAAGAATTCCATTGTGTTCACATTTCTTACCTTCTGTAATGTTGAAGATCTGAAATTTGGTTGTAAATACATTGGTAACTTTTTTTCCAAATTACATTCCCAGGAGACAGATAAAAACTGAATACAGGTTGAAGTTTGGCTGTTGTATAAATATGCAGTTACTGAAAGCACTGGTGATAACACTGTCAGAAGTGAAAAATTATAGATGATTAATAAGAAATTGTTCAAAGAAATGGTTCTTGCCAAACAAAACATCAATGAGTGAAAATAATTTTCATTGACAAAACATGTGCCTGTTGGGCATTCCAGAGGAATGTGATGGGAATAAACTTGACTGAACCTTTAAAAGAGTTTTTACTTGTTGGGTCAGATGTTTCTGCTAAATCCCTCAGTGTCAAAATGCTGTTTTGCCTTTCCTACCAGCTCTGGGCATACCCCCTCACAAACTATGTTGTGTGAATCTGAAGACTGCTTTAGAAATGAGTTCCCAAATTGCTCAAGAAATAGTTCAGACTGTAAATCTGAAAAACCTTCTGCTCACTCAGGTCCTGTGGGGGGAGTTTAGCCAATGAAGGAAGGAAGGAAAGAAGGAAGGAAGGAAGGAAGGAAGGAAGGAAGGAAGGAAGGAAGGAAGGAAGGAAGGAAGGAAGGAAGGAAGGAAAAGAAAGAAATTAAACTCAAAAGCAAACTTTGGAAGCATGACAAACATGGAAGCCATGTGTATACCATGCTGTCAGCATTTCCTGAAGAAGCTGTGTGTGGGCTGAAGGGCTCTGGGATGATAATCTGGAAATGATGAAGAATTGTTTTATGTATTTTATTGTAGGACAGGTCTAATAAAAGTTAAGTACTACAAATGTTAACAGTGCATTAATTGTAAGTTAAAACAATAATTTGATACTATTTTTCCAACCACAAATTGGCAAAAAAATTTAGAAGTGAGAACATAGGGTTTGGTAATGAAATAGGAAAACAGGTGAACACTCAAACACGGTTTATGGAAATATAAATTGATAGAACCTTTTTTAGTGACAACTTGGCAGTGTCAACCAAGATTCCAAATATACCTATCCTATGAGGCAGCAGAATGCATATGAGTTAAGAACAGACTCTGGATTCAGAGATCCTGGATTCCAATCCTGGCTCTACCAATTAGAACCATGAGATCTCAAACAAGTTGCTTAACCTCTCTGAGCCTAAGTTTATCATCTACAAAACTGACATAACAATAGTATCTTTAACCCATGGAGTTGTCATGGGAATTTTAAAAGCTGGTATTTGTAAAGTGTTTACACTGGTGCCTGGCATATAGGAAGTGACATGTAACATAGAACCCTAATTCAAGGAAAACATTCTATAAAACTTCTAGCCAAATGTCTAAGTTCAGTACAACGTGGCTTCTCACAACATAGAAATGGAAACTAACTCTAGATGTCCAACACTGAGAAAACATGTAAATAAATGATGGTACATCAGTGTGATTGAATAGTTTATAGCCCTGTAAAGAGTGAGGTAGAGCTATGTGTACCCCAAGAACAACATATTGCTGAGTACAAAAACAAATTGTAAAACAGCATGTTCAGTAGAATCCCATTATTATGAAAGTGAAGTGTGTGTGTGTGTGTGTGTGTGTGTGCGCGCGCGCGCACGTGTACCTGAAAAGATATATGCCATACTTAACAGTGATCACCTCTGAGGAGTGAGATTAGAGCAGTGAAGAGACTTTCAGTTCTTACTTTATACACTTCTGTATTGTTTGAACCTTTAAACATGAACTTAAATTACTTTTATAATTAAAAAAGCACTTAAATCACTAGTCTGAGCGTAGTTTAGATTTAAATAATTATTCTCTCTCTCTCTTTTTTTTTTGAAGATTCAGAATCATAGCCATGGGATGAATGCTACTGTTATCATTGACATAGATGACCAGCCAGGAAATAAGATTGTATGAACAGTCCATTTAATTAAATGTTTTGGCCACTTAGATCTATGTGAGCATAAAATGTGGAAACACTTAGGAAATAAGCTTTCGTTGTATAGTAAATAGGGGGTAATGAGATTCGGTCAATCTGTCAGAGATTTAAACCTACCCGATCCTAAAGAAAAACAGGCCTAAAATATTTCAAATGTGAGGTTATATTAAAAACCACAGTTTCAAACTGTGAAGCTAAACAAATCAGTTATTTCAGTTTATTGTCTTAGGGAAAGCACAGTGTAATACTTGAAGGAGAACCAAAAGGAGGGGTAGCATTCCCAGCAGCTAGCACTTTTATCCAATACCAGAGCTTTCATTTGCCAAATTATCTTCAAAGATACTGACTGACCAAAGCACTTCTGCAATAAAAGTATCTCTGTGTTAGTCAATGGAATGAGGGAATGTTAAAATTGAAAGAGCTCTTGGAGACCAGCTAGGTCAGTGTCCACATTTCACAGGAAGAGGACACTAAGTTCTGGAAAGATCATGGGACTTCGTAACAAAAACAAACTACAGCTCAGATCAACTGACCACCAGTATAGTATGCCTTCTAATACACTAGTGTCCTCACGCTTTTTGTATTTCAGGTAATGGTTTTAAAATGCACACGGGAAAAATAAATATAAACTATAGTATAGAACACAAATCTCCCAGAGAAGAGTTTACTTCCTATTCTCACACTCCAAGTCCCAGTTCCTCTCCTCAGATATGGCCACTGTGTTTTTTGTTTTGGTTTGGTTTTGGTTTTTGAGACAAAGTCTCACTCTGTTGCCTAGGCTGGAGTACAGTGGTGTGATCGTAGCTCACTGCAGCCTCAGCCTTCTGGACTCAAGCAATCCTCCCACATCAGCCTCCTGCGTAGTTGGGACTACAGGTGTGCACCACCATGCCCAGCTAATTTTTTGTATATTTTTGTAGAGACAGGATTTCACCATGTTGCCCAGGCTGGTCTTGAACTCCTGAGCTCATGTGATCTACCCACTTGGGCCTCCCGAAGTGCTGGGATTACAGCCATGAGCCACTGTGCCCAGCCTATAACTACTGTCAGCAGTTCCTCTGATAATCTTTCAGAGATACTCTATGAGCTTCTAAGCAAGTGTATATATGTATGCATGCATGTGCGCAGCATATTATATATGCAATTGACCCTTGAACAACATGGGTTTGAACTGTATGGGTCCACCTATACATGGATTCTTTTCCACCTCTGCCACCCCTAAGACAACAAGACTAACCCCTCCTCTTCCTCCTCCTCCTCAGCCTATTCAATGCAAAGATGATGAGGATGAAGACCTTTATGATGATCCGCTTCCACTTAATGAACAGTAAATGTATTTTCTCTTCCTTATGGTTTCTTAACATTTTAACTTACTTTAGGAATATAGTATATAATACATATAACACACAAAATACGTATGTGTTAATTGACTGTGTATGTTATCAGTAAGGTTTCCAATCCATAGTAGGCTACTAATTTTTAAATTCTGGGGGGGTCAAAAGTCATAAGCAAATTTTCAACTGTGTTGAGGGGGTAGGTGCCCCTAACAACCAATTGTTCAAGGGTCAACTGTCCTATCAAGCTTTTTGCGTATTTCTTTGTTTTCACTTAAATATATCGTACAAATTATTCCTTATCAATACATGTTAATCTTCTCTTTTTAATGGCTGCACATTATTTCATTACATTATAGTATATCATAATTTATTTCACCAGCCCCATCTCAACAGATATTTAGACCATTTTGTCCTTTGTATTACAAATATGCTATTATCCATAAAAAGTACTCATATACACATCTTCAAGCACCTGTCCAAGTATGTGTGGAGTACACATCAGATAAATTCTTAGATGTGGAATTTAGCCAAAGGGTATATTTAATTTTGATAAGACTTGCCAAATTTTTCTCCAAAAAGATATATTAATTTACACTTCTACTAAGAAAGTATAGTAATTATTTAAGTTTTATTTGTGATGTTTTTCTTCACTTATTAAATGATAAGTTCCTTGAAGAAAGAAACTGTAGCTTCTACAACTTGATTCCAATGCCCATGGTCATTCATATCGTCATTCTTTAACAAATATTGAATGACCAGAACTGTGCCAAAGACTGAAATATAAAAATAGATATGTATTGTTTCCTATAGTGGTAGACAAGTTATCTCAGAGTAACCCCTCTGCTGAGAAAAAGTAAAATGAAAGTGGGGAAATATATTTTTTAAAAACCCACACCTTCCAAAAGGACCAAAAAGTTAATCAAAGAAGAAATTGCCCAGTCAAAATCTAGAAAAAATGAAACCACTGTATTAAAATCTGTTTGGCCCTAATGGCATTTGCTTATCTCAAAGAAATAACTGTGAAACTGCGTTTGCTTAGGGCAGGTGGGGGTCTTTCAGGGCAGAGGAAACAAGACTTAAAGCTCATGGTCCACCGAAGTTTAAGACTCAGATAAACCACCTGCCACTGTAAGGTGGAACCTAGCAAGGTTATCACTTAAGGGTAAGGGTAAACCAGAATTAAACCAGTCCTTCAAAAGACTTGCAGACTATCTTCTCATCATTTGGCTCTTTTAGAGAACCTGAAGAGTTGAACTTGGATTAAGATAGTCCTGCATTAGTAGCATCTCTAGAATCCTGGCAGAAACAAATTAAAATACTCTCTTGTAAGAAGCACTATCATCTTATGTCTCAAAGTATTCCTAAAATACATTGTATAGCACACAAAGAAAACAAAATGCATAGGAAGCAAGATACCACGAGCAAGAACCAGTTAAAACAAGAAGATAGTAGAAACAGACCAACAAAGACTTCATATATTGGGATTATTAGATACCAACTATAAAACAACTATGCCTACCAAGCCTTAAAAAAAAAAAAAAAAAAAAAAGGAAAAGAAAGAAAGAAAAGAAAAGCTTCAAAATTTCAGAAAGACACTGAGGGGGAAAAGTGCCATAATTTTGAAAAGGGGAAATATAATAACAAATTATGAATTAATTGAGTGAGTTTAAGGGCATATTAGACATAGCTGAAGAAAGAATTATTGAACAGAAAAATAAGTCAGAATAGACTTTCCACATTATAGCATGAAGAGACAAAAACATAGAAAATATAGCAGAGAGGATAAGAGAGAGGGAGGACATCCTGAAAAAGTCTAACATATATTTAATTGCAGTTTTAAAAGAGAGAAATGGAGCAAAGGCAATATTTAAATTTTTATGGCTAAAGTGGCTGAGAATTTTGGAGGACTGACTCACAGAACTTAAGAATCCCATGCAGGATAAAGAAAAAAGAAATCTACACCAAGATTCATCCTGAGATATTGTAGAAAACAAAAGAAAAAGTGAAAAAATCTTTAAAGCAACTAGAAAAAAAAAAGATTTAAATTTAAACTTCTAAGGCACAAAAATGAAAACCAAAGGAAAAATGGGAATATATCCTCCATATTCTTATAGAAAATAAAAACTATTATAGAACTTTATAGCCGGCAAAATATCCTTCAAGCATGAAAGTAAAATACAGACATTTTCAGACAAACAAGAATTGAGAGAATTCACAACCAACTGACTTAGGCTAAAGGATCAGAGACACAGAAAGGACTAAGAACTTTAAAAACGGTAAATACATGGGTAAACATAAATATTGGCCTTAAAACCTGTAATATGCATGTCTTACAGAGTGTTAAAATATACAGAATTAAAATTTATAGCAACTATATGTTGCCAGCTAGAAACTAGGGAGAAAGGGAAGCTTTGTTAAACCATTCTAAGGTCCTGAACTCCTGACTTCAGGTAATCCATCCACCTCACCCCATCTCTACTAAAAATACAAAAATTAGCTGGGTGTGGTGGTGCACACCTGTAATCCCAGCTACTTGGGAAGCTGAG